CAAGATCATGGATTCATCAAATGTCCACATGAGTATGCTCTTTACGTTAAAAAGGATGCATTTAGAGGTTTTATGATTGTGTGCTTGTACGTTGATGACTTGATCTTAATCGGCAATAATGAAAACATGTTTGATGAATTTAAGAGAATGATGGCTCAAGAATTTGAGATGACTGATATTGGGCTCATGTCATACTACCTTGGAATTGAGGTAAAACAAAATGGAGATAACATTTTTATTTTTCAAGAAGCTTATGCAAAGAAATTTCTTGAAAGATTCAAAATGCAAAATTGCAATCCGGTGAGTACTCCCATTGGGTGTGGAACAAAGATGCCAAAATATGACGAGAGCACGAAAGTGGATCCATTTCTCTATAGACAGCTTGTTGGAAGCTTGAGATATTTGACTTGTACAAGACTCGATATTCTTTATGGTGTTGGTCTTGTTAGCCGTTATATGGAGGCACCAACTTTAACTCACTTGGAGATTGCTAAAATGATACTTTGCTACATTAAAGGTACCATTGATTATGGCTTAACTTATTCTTCTTCTACAAATTTCAAGCTTCATGGTTATAGTGATAGTGATTGGCCTAGTGATATTAATGATCAAAAAAGCACCACTGGATTTTTGTTTTTCATTGGTAACACCGCTTTCACTTGGTGTTCAAAGAAGCAGCCCATTGTGACCCTTTCTACTTGTGAAGCTGAATATGTTTCCGCTGCATCATGTGTTTGTCATGCCATTTGGCTAGAAATTATTGGAGATGCTTCATATGCCTCAAAATGAAGCTACACCAATTTATGTTGATAACAAATCAGCTATTGCTTTGGGTAAAAATCTTATGTTCCATGATCGAAGCAAGCATATAGATACGAGATTTCACTTCATTAGAAAGTGCATTGAGAACAAAGAAATTGAGCTTGCTTATGTGAAGACCAATGATCAAGTAGCAGATATTTTCATCAAACCATTGAAGAATGATGATTTTGCAAGATTGCGTACTTGGATTGGAGTTATCAAGAGGGAATCAAGTTTAAGAAGGGGTG